GGGGGGGGGGGCACAAGGCAGGGGGCACTCACCTCCACTGTAGCCACCGCTGCTGGAGCCCCCGAGGTGGGGAGGCCCTCGAGACGGGACAGCATTCCCATAGCCCCCATTCTGCTCTAGGAGCTGCAATGATTCCAAATGCAAATAATCAATCTCCAGAGGCCGGGGCCAGGGTTCAGGTGGCTCCTCCCCAAACAGAAAACCTTCAGATGCTGGCACAAGGTACCTGTGGGCCCCAAGTACGCTGGCCACCCAGTTAACCTAGCTCTCTCTACCTGACTTACTAAAACATCCAAGAGAACTTCCCGGACTCTGAACAGCCCAGCTGAACCAAAAGGCAGACCACACTGACAAGTGACCTGCCCATGTGCTGTTCTGGAGCCGACGTGCTCGGGCACACACCTAACACAGAGGAGGCAGCCGTGAACCCGCCCAACTCTGCAAGTGCTCCCTGCACGCCCACCGCACGCCAAGCCTCCACGGCGACGCAGGGCAGACGGCAGACCCTCGGGGCCGAGGCATCTTGTGTGGGGAGGTGCACCCGGACTCAGTCGGCTCGCGCCCTCTGGCTGCCACAGGAGCGGGGCAGTGGGCTGTGCACAGTGAGGCTCTTTCGCGAGCTGAGCCCGAGGCCAGTGTGGGGCTGGAGCCTCGAAGAGATTCGTGCAGCCCGGAGGCAAGGTGCTCGGCGCAGGCCTCCTGCCCAGCCCCCTTGGGGCGGCCTCAGCCTTCCTCAGTCTCAGGGAAGATGCAGTTTCTGCCGGTTACTTGTTTTATAAGTTACTCGGTAGCGTGCTTTAGGGTTTTTGGTGAAGCTTTACAAAATACGACCATCGAGGTGGAGTTTTACCACGTTAAACTCAGGAAATGAGATACACGTGCTATCGTTTCTACTGAGCGTGACGACATCTTGTCTTTCTTAGTGACCTCGGAGGGAATCGGTACTAACATCCTACAAGTTCCTGAAAACAACGCACGTGCCCGCAAGTGGTAGGCAACTACCACTGTCGGGCCACGTCTCCTCTTCGCAAATTCTCTGTTTGCTCTATCAATTTCTGGAAGAAACAGAACATCCCCTACCGTGACCCGATGCCTCCCACGACTCCCGCAAACTAACGAATGCTGCTCGGTATCTCAGACGCTGTTGTTCGAGGCAGGTGAACGACACCCGCTTTCCTTCTAAAGTCCTTTCACAGCATCCTGTCAAACCACACAGCCGAACACTTCGCATGCCTCCACTCTTGGGTTTCAGACTCGATTCCTACTCCCCCTCTCGAGGGGCTCTGTCTGCTGCGTGCGGCCCTGTGTGGCGGGCTGCCTTCCCGCAGGGAGGACGGCCTCGCTGCACACTCGGCCCCTACATAAGAGGTTTAAGGTTTGCACGCGTGGGGCGCAGGTCTCAGAAGCACTAGCATCAGGACACGCGCAGCAGTGGACCCACCAGGAGCTGCATCTGTCCACGGGGAGCTCCCCAGGGGTGCGCACGCAAGCAGGCCTGCCCACCGATCAGACACCGCCCCACGCCGCCCGGGGCCCCTGCTCGCCTTTGGGGACGAGCACGTTTTCTGCGGGGCTACGTGGGCACTCTGGGCCGACCTGCTTTAGCGCCAGACTGCTCCCAGGCTCTCTCTGGACCGAACCCACTGCCCGCCCCCCCCGCCGACGTTCCGTGGCCTTCTCCCCCTCACCCCGCTGTGACCTTCCGTGGCCTCCTCCCCACCTGTGCTCCTCTCCACCTCTCGCCCTGGCCCCTGGGATGCAGGGAACCAGCCCAGGAGGTTAAGCACTGAGCACCAGGGCCCCACGCCCGGTTTACTCCCCCGGCTCCTATGATCAGGTGGGACGTTTCCCCTGTCACCCCGGCCTGTGGAGGCTCCATGGCACTCGTGAGCCCCCTCGGGGAGCCGTGTCTCTTGCCCTAGAGCAGGTGCGGTCTCTCACGGAAACGTCCTGAAAACACCCGTCAAGGCCCCTACCTCAGTGATGGGCGACTTGGGGTTCACATTCCTGGCGGCTGCAATCTCCTGGAGCTGGTTGACCAGTTCTGTGATGGACAGCCGCTCCTCAGGGTTGACCTTCAGCGTAGCGCCTAGGGCAGAGGCAGGTGAGCTCAGGTCACGGTCTGGGGTCAGCAGTGCCCACCCTCCCCGAGATCACAGACCCGAGGCCCCTCATTTCACTTACAGCACTGATTTCGCTTACAAGCGAGAGAGGGAAACATGACAAGAGAGCCACAGCGAAAACGGCACAAAGTTACCAGAACCGGCCACTCAAAGCACCGAGAATTCACAAGGGGGCTGAGCGCTAGGAAAAGCCCTGAGCAGAGCGGCCGCCACACAGCCATGAGGGGCAGGGGACAGCCGGGGCCCTGGATGTGACACAGGTCCCCGCACGCGCACGCGGGACTTACGGATGAGGTCATGGAACACAGAGTACTGGGTGTCACCAGGAGGGATTGAGAACTTCCCGTTGACTATTCTCAGCTTTGCTCCGTCTTCAAACGGGTGCTGCCTGAAGCACAGCAGGTACAAGATGCAGCCCAGGGCCTGCAGGGGACAGGG